GTGCCTTTCTGTGCAGAGCAAATCGGTGGCCTCCGTAACTTTGCAGTCGTAGCAGCAGCAGCATTAGCAGCAGGAGTAGTAGCAGTAGTAGTAGTAGCATCCGAAGCAGTAGCAGCAGCAGCAGCAGGCGGAGGAGTAAAAACAGCAGTATCATCAACAGTAACAGCAACAGTAACCGTAGCAGTAGCAGGATCAGAAGTAGCAGCGGTAGCAGCAGAAGTAGTAGTAGTAGTAACAGCAGTAGCAGTAGCAGTAACAGTAGCAGTAATAGTAGCAGTAGTAGCAGCAGTAGCAGCACCAACCGCAGCAGTGGCAGCAGTAACAGAAGCAGCAGCAGCAGGAGTACTATCAGCAGCAGTAGTCGCAGTAGCAGCAGCAACAGCCGTAGTAGCAGTAGCAGTAGCTGTAGTAGCAGAAAAGGCAGCAGCAGCAGACGCAGCGAAAGCAGTAGCAGCACTAGCAGCAGCAGTCGCAGAACAGAAAGCAGCAGCAGCAGCAGCAGCGGTAGCAGCAGCAGCACCACCAGCAACAGTAGTAGTAGCATTAGTAGCAATAGTAGCAGTAGTAGTAACCGCAGTAGCAGTAGCACTAGCAGCACCACCAGCAAAAGTAGCAACAGCAGTAGCAGCAGCAGCAGCCGCAGCAGTAGCATCAGCAGCAGCAGTACCACCGACAGCAGTAGCAGCAGTAGCAGCAGCAGCAGTAACAGCAGTAGCAGTAGCAGTAGCAGCAGTAGCAGCAGCACCAGCAGCAGTAGCAGCAGTAGCAGCAATAGCAGCAGCGGTAGTAGTATTAGTAAAACTAGCAGTAGCAGCAACACCAAAAACAGTATCAGTAGTAGTAGCAGCAGCAGCAGCAGTAGTAGTAGCAGCAGTAGCAGTAGTAGCAGCAGCAGTAGCAGTAGCAGTGGCAACAGCAGCAGTAGTATCAGCAGCAGTAGAAGCAGCAGCAGCAGCAGCAGCAGTAGCAGCAGCACCACCAGCAGCAGCAGCAGTAGGAGCAGCAGCAGGAATAGTACTACTATTAGTAGTAGTAGTAGTAGCAGCAGTAATAGTAGTAGTAGCAGCAGTAGCAGTAGTAGCAGTAGTAGCAGTAGCAGTAGTAGCAGCAGCACCACCACCAAAAGCAGCAGCAGTAACAGCAGCAGTGGCAGTAGTAGTAGCATTAGTAGCCGCAGCCAGCAAGCACAGCAAGCCGTTAAGCAGGCACGGCCACGCCACCGCACGCGGCAAGACGCGCAATCAACCCCATGAACCACCAGCAACTAACCAGCCATGGCCGGCCCCTAGCCCGCGCGCTCCCCGCAGCAAGCAGTAAGCAGCAGCAGTGGCCAGTAGTAGTGCAGATAGTAGCAGCTAAGTAGTAAGGCAGTATAGTCAGTAGTAGGGCAGCAGCAGCAGTAAGCAGCAACAACCGACACCAGTAGCACAAGCAGTAGCAGTACAGCCAGTAGGACGTAGCAACAGTAGTAGTAGGCAAGCAACAGTACAAGGAGCAGCAGCAGCACAAGCAGTAGCAAAGGAGCAGCCAGTATACAGCAGTAAGTCAGGCGAGAGCAGTAGCAGAAGGAGCAGCAGCATTAGGAGCAGCAGTAGCAGCAGCAGCAGTAGTTGCAGCAGCAGTAGGAGCAGTAGCAGCAGCAGCAGGGCAGGGAGCAACAGCAGCACAGCAAAGCAGCCAGTGAAGCAGTAATCGTGGTTGGTTATTGAATTTCATTCACTGTAAAGAGCAACACGCTCTATAGCTGTAGTTATCGAGTGCACGCGATAACCGACTAGTCTGGTCTGGACCCTGATTGCCTATTAACACTCGTCGACCTTTGCTCTCTCTCTCTCTCTCTCTCTCTCTCTCTCTCTCTCTCTCTCTCACTCTCTCTCTCTCTCTCTCTCTCTATCTATCTATTTCTATCTATCTCTCTCTCTCTCTCTCTCTCTCTCAACTCGCCTCTCAAGATGTAGTTGTGTTGTGTTTGTAACGCGCCACCTTATGAAGCTGCGTGCTTAGAAACACCGTCTTTCATCAAGGTTCATGATCATCAGTAAATTAGTAATTAATTGTAATTGTGTTCATCTGTGCAGGAATTCCAACTGCATTAATTGCATTTGGCTATTTTTCCGATCGTTTTTCTGTGCAAATCTTGTTGACCAGCTGACTGCAGTTGTAGTAGCACTCTGCCAGCTGTCTGTAGCTGTGGTTATAACGCTTCGTTGTGTATGATCAGGTTGTTACATTTGTGATTGTCGGTCCCGTATGTCTTCCGATCCGAAATTGAAATTGGAACCGGTTGTGCATTGCGGATGTTTCGTCCGACACTCGTGTCCTGCTTTCTGTCGCGTTGTCTTCTCAGCTAGCCTGATCAGAGATAAGAAAGTTGCTGCTGAATGTCTAAGCTGACTAACGAGTCCTGTGACAACGTGCCACAGACCTGGATCCGGGTCTGGAGCCGGATAGCCAGGATAGCCGGATAGCCGGATAGCTCGGATAGTTTCGGATCGGAATGGTATCCGGCACTCGGTCGCACTTGCCTTCAAACCAGAGCTTTCTTCGGTGCTTGACATTTATTCGGTATCCAAGACGAATTAGGATTTATTCGTCACTTGGTCACGCACATGTGCACACGCACGCACGCACACACACACATATACACACACACGCACATACACACACACACCTCTTCTTCACATACACACACCTCCCTCCTCCCCCCACATACACACGCAGCGACCAGCATGGAGCATACAACCCTCTCTGCTGCCGCTGCTGCTGCTACAGTCGCCTCCTCCATTAACGCTAGCAGCATCACCACGGAGCTCCACTCCTCCTCCTCCTCATCCTCCTCTTCTTCCCTCCTCCTCCTTCTCCTCCTTCCTCCTCCTCCTCTTGTCGTCGTCGTCGTCGTCACAAGAGCAGCGGCCGGAGTACACGACGACGCTCGAGCTAGTGCAGCGAGTGCTCATGATGCTGCTGCTATTCCTCATCCTCTTCGCGATGGGATGCACGATCACGCTCGCCGACGTCGTCGTCAATCTCCGCCGACCGTACGGCGTCTGCGTCGGTCTGACGTCACAGTTCGTCGTGCTGCCGCTGGCGGCGTTCGGATTCGCTCATCTCATGCAGGTAGGCTCCGCCAGGTGGCGCGCTGAAAGGCGGTGGTTTAGCGCACCCGGATTGTTAGTGATGGGGTTAGGGTTAGGGTTATGGTAAGGGCTAGGGTTAGGGTTAGGCTTAGGGTTATGGTTGGGTTAGGGTTAGGGTTAGGGTTAGGGTTAGGGTTGGGTTAGGGTGAGGGTTAGGGTTAGGGTTAGGGTTAGGGGTAGGGTTAGGGTTAGGGTTAGATGGATCAGGATTATGTTTATTGTTTAAAAAGAATACTTCTATGGATGATTCTAAAATATAGCCTTTTATTAACTATATCTTTACACCTTTGCCACGTTGTACACACTATTTCTACGCCACATAGCGTAAAATGCTTTCTATTTCGTAAGTCGTATTTCATCGCGTGTAGCCATACCACAGTGCTACATGACCCATAGCGGTACAAACATATATAACATATTAACATAACTGCGTTAATGCGATATTTTTACAGCTGCCACATCTATTCCAGTTCACTGTTATATGGGGAAATCAGTACGTACAGAGTGGAAACTAGCGCTAGCCATCGAATAAGAATGAAAATGGACAGTATCCTTAATACGATATTTACAGTTGCCACCGCACAAGCCATCGGCATGTTAGTGATGGCTTGCACACCAGGTGGCGCTATGTCTAACATGTTTACCTACTGGACGGACGGTGACATTGCCCTGAGGTATATAGTACAAACATTCACCCGCTAATCAACAACATGTATGAAAGTGCGCGCGCGTCTGCTTTCCTGCCTATTCATGCCGAATGCAAATACGATAGCGTTTACGTACGCGAGGTACATAACGAGGTGACTAACATTAGCAGTTGTTTATATTAGCTATCTCGAGTGAGCTATAATTATTAATTGTGGACATGCTTATAATTGTTTGCACTCAGGTGTATGCAAGCTGTAAGATTGCGCCCACCGTGCGTTAGTCAACAAGATTTCACAGGGGCAATCAATGCACCAATAAAATTGTACTCTCTTTCAATGTATTTACTAAAATTTAACGTGTTATTACAGCCGTATTAACTTTCGTATTACAGCCATATTAACTGTACTATTAACTGCAGTATTGCAGCCGTATTAACTGCCGTATTACCTGTAGTATGACAGCCGTGTTAACTGTTGTAGGACAGTCGTATTAACTGCAGTATTAACTGCAGTATTAACTGCAGTATTAACTGCAGTATTAACTGCAGCATTAACTGCAGTATTAACTGCCGTATTAACTGCAGTATTAATTGCAGAATTAACAGCCGTATTAACTGTAGTATTAACTTCAGTATTAACAGCCGTATTAACAGCCGTATTAACTGCAGTATTAACTGCAGTATTAACTGCAGTATTAACTGCAGTATTAACTGCAGTATTAACTGCAGTATTAACTGCAGTATTAACTGCAGTATTAACTTTTAACGTCGTATTAATCTCGTCGTCGTCGTCACTTCAGCATCTGCATAACGACGGTGTCGACCCTGGTGGCGATCGGCATGATGCCGCTCAACCTGTTTCTCTACACGCGCAGCTGGACAGACAAGAGAGCAGTCATTCCTTACGGCAACCTCGCTCTCGCCCTCGTCATCATCACCGTGCCCGTTGCCATGGGGATGCTGCTGCGATGGAGGCGCCACCTGCTGGCGCAATCAGTCAGCAAGGTAGGGAAGAGTTCATTGTGGGATTGAGCGGCGTTTCATGGTCGAGTGCGTTATGAAGGTCTGTACTGATACCCACTGCAAATATTATTTACTGCTAACATAATAATGTCTACTGCTAATTTAATAATATCTGCTGCTAAGGTGGAGCGGCGAGTTTATACAGAGCAGCTGCACTGATAAAAATAATCTACTGCTAAAATAAACGCGCGATGTGCAATCTCTGTCATGTGTTTGCACTGTCTGGTGATCGATGACTGTTCTGCATGTTTGTGAACTGTTCTGCCGTCAGTCTCGCCCCTATAGTGACCGTTATATACAGGTTCCCCTATAATGACCGTTATATACAGGTTGTGTTGGCCGTTCTACGCAGGTGTTTAACATCGTTACTTTTGCCCTCTATAATGACCGTTATATACAGGTTGTGTTGGCCGTTCTACGCAGGTGTTTAGCATCGTCAGTCCCGCCCTCTATAATGACCGTTATATACAGGTTCCCCTATAGTGACCGTTATATTCAGGGTGTGGCCGTTCTACGCAGGTGTTTAGCATCGTCAGTCTCGCCCCTATAGTGACCGTTATATACAGGTTCCCTTATAGTGACCGTTATATACAGGTTGTGTTGGCCATTATACGCAGGTGTTTAGCAACCCCAGTCTTGCCCTCTATAATGACCGTTATATACAGGTTCCCTTATAGTGACCGTTATGTACAGGGTGTGGCCGTTATACGCAGGTTTAGCATCCTCAGTCCCACCCTCTATAATTACCGTTATATACAGGTTCCCTTATAGTGACCGTTATGTACAGGGTGTGGCCGTTATACGCAGGTTTAGCATCGTCAGTCTTGCCCTCTATAATGACCGTTATATACAGGTTCCCTTATAGTGACCGTTATGTACAGGGTGTGGCCGTTATACGCAGGTTTAGCATCGTCAGTCTTGCCCTCTATAATGACCGTTATATACAGGTT